TCATTTTTTCTAATTGTTAATAGCATTAACAATACTTGATTCTGGCCCACTATAGATGTGTAGATGACTAATAAAGTAGATCTGCATCCAGAAGTAAGACAAAAGCTTTCAGTGGTTTAACCACATGAAAATTATGTGGGTATCATGGACTAAGCATTATATCATCTCCTTGAAAATGCTGAACAGAAAAACAAAACAAAGATCCCAAGATTTGGTGTAGGTGGACTGACTTATTGCAAACCATAGATAACCACATATGGAGAGATGAAATTGATGGAGTGATGATGTCAAGGGAGAGGCACAGGAAAAAAATCCTCTGAATAGTGAAACTGAACAAGAGTTTCACATTCTTTTTTTTTTCTTGGAGACAAAAATAAATCACATCAACATTTTACTGCCAAAATGAGGGAAGGGGGTGAGGGGAAGCTGTTTTAAAGACTGATTTCAGAGTGTCTTTTATCTTGACAAGAGAAAATTTTAAATAATCTGCTCAAAGAGAGTGTTATTCACTTTATATCACCACCAGGCTCAAGTGGGATAGGAGCTACCTACAGGTCACAAAGGGGCATACCCCCAAGTGCTCTCTACTTCGGTTTTTGTAGCCTTCCTCTCTTTTTTGGGGGTGGGTGGGGGAGTGTCTTAGCTTACAAAGTGCAACTTCAAAACCTCCCTCTTTGCCTTCAGGGATCTAAAGCGTCCCCTATCCGTTACCAGGATGGTGACAGTGCTATGCAAGATCACCACTGTCACCATCCTGATTGAGCTAAACAGCTAGACTCGGGTAACTAACTGTACCTAAGATCCTCCAACTAAGCATCATTCTACTTAATCACACAGCACTCTGCTCTGAGCCTGACCGTACTGACACCAGCAGACTTGGTTTCCACAAAAACAAGTAATAGAGTAGCAGCCACTGCCGTAATAATTTAAAAAAAGCAGCCTGGAAACACTTATTCAGCTATTCAGGAGCTCAGCAGTAGCTCAACTTTATCCAACACTGCATCCCAGACCCGGGAGACCTGAAGACTAGGCCCTCCTCAGCCAGAGGGAATGCAAACACCCCGCTGTCTCCAAAAATAAGACGAGCATCACGAGCAGCGGGCTAGTCCGGAGCCAGGCAGGAGGGGAGCTCCCCGCACATCCCCGCCCAGACAGGCACCCCCGCCGCGCAGGGCTCAGGGAAGAGGGGCAGGAGCCTCTGCGGCTCGCGCAGGGAGAGC